TCGTACCATGGAAATACTGAGAATTCGCAGAAAAAATGCCTAGTCTTGATTTCGTTTGCTCTATTTTCTAGGTTTAATCGTTTCATCTTATAGAGCTCATAATTAATTAAAGAGCTACTAGAACCATAACTCCCACAAAAACTCCATATGATAGTATACTATACGACTGATTCATATTAGAATGTAATTCTGTAAAGGCGAATTTGGCTGGATCAAGTTCATTATGCAGATAGATTCTATTATTGGTTATGATTATAAAAATCCAGTGAATGGAATTGGTTAAGCTCTTTTCTTTCTTTCTTTTTTTCATGCTTCTGTTCTGTTTTGTTTGTTCTCTGCCACCTTAATTTGCCACTGAATTTTCTTATCGGGTCCCTGAACTGCGTTAATATATACTAATGAATCTTAATTATTATTTCCCTGTTATCTTTTAATTAAGGTCCTAATATATATACGTATACGGCATGAATGTTACATTAAAAGCTCATGGAATAGCGAAAACAAGCAGTTGCTCAGGATTTAACAATTATATAAACAATACTGTTATTGATTAGTGCATCACTGCTGTATTTTTATGTGTATATATTTATATAATTAGTAATAACAATCTTTTTAAACGTGCTTTATTAATCTTTTCATTTGAAAAAAATTATATAATAAACCACAGACAAGAACGGAAGAAGAAAAAATAATAATAAGAAAAAATGCATTATTACATGCATGGATGTGACGCTAATTAGTCTAAACCTCTGTACAACTAATCGCATTGAGGACGTACGGTTAAAGTAATGATTCATTTTAGACATGCACCTTTTTATCTGTTATTGTGGATAAAAACTAATGCCTTATTTAGGTTTGATTTTTTTTCTATATGCGTTATTTATTTTATGTATAAATATAATTAATCATTACTTGGATCATTACGCCAATTAGCGAGCAGCAAAGATATAAGACTTGTGGGGTCATTCATGTAATGACATTGGTGAATGAGCCGGTCAAAATTCTTAGCATCAGGTTTAATAAGCATTCCTTTTTTTTTTTAATGAAAATACCAAGATATCTACCGGCGGATCCGGTGACTAATCCCTTTACTAGCTTGTAAGTACCTCGAAGGGTGGGATAGTTAGCATGGGGTTTTAAAGCTTTTACATGTTTAAGACGAGTTGAGGATCGAATCCTCGACATTTGGTTAAAAGAGGATGAGCCCCAACCGCTCAACTATACCCTTAGGTTGGCTTAATAAGCATTTCTGACTTCAATTATAATGCACTTTTAACATGTTTGATTTGAATAAAAAAAGCTTTAAACTCTACTATTAATCTTAAAATTTGATAACTTTTTAATTTCATTCATATTTTATATGTACTTTGTAAAAAATAAAAATTTATTATATAATAAATTATATGTAAGATTATTTATTTATATAATAAATATAATGAAATAACCAACATACGTTGGCATAGATGGATGAGGGACTGCATTCTTTACCCATCACTCCTGGGTTCGATTATGTTGGATGATGGAAATGGAACTGACGTGTTTAGAAAGGTAACCCCCATAATTAGGCCTCTGCAAGTCCCAATAGATTAATCTCCCACTACTCGAGTGGAGGGATACTATGGTGTTTCACTCAAAATAATATATAATGAAATAATTTATGAGAAAAATTGGTTAAAAAACTTCCTGTTTGAAAATTTAATTAGCTAAAAAGACCTGAATTTGAGCATGTATAAGTATGATTCATGAGCACAACATATCTTCTGATGTAGGCAACATATTATTGATAAGAAAATATTATATGTCTTTCCCTTGCAAACAGGAATATTGGATGAGAGAAGAAGCATGACAATTTGAACCATGTGGTGTGCTTTATGTCTGTGATTGCACTTAAACAGAAAAAAGATTATCGAAGGCCAAAAAAAGTGAAAAAAGATTATAACTTTCATAAAAAAAAATTCTATTTTTTAATAGACAAAAATTAAATTTCGCATGTGATAATTAGTATTCTGTTACTAACCAGAATAAAACCCTACAATTTGAAAATACTAATGTCTATATTTAGAAAGTATAAGTTATAAATATAATTTTATAAAGTATTGGATGAAAGTGGTAGCTATAATTATTTCTTCTTCTTCTTTTTCCAAAATAGAAAAGATTTCAAAAGTTGTTAACTGTCCATATTGTGAATGTTCCAGATACGCGAGCGCCCTTCTTTAATTATATTAATTATCGGTAAGGGGAAAATATATAGAAAACAATTGTAGAATAGAATTGAAGAAGCAGTCTGATACAAAGGCCCCTAATTTACTGAAACATGCACTCTTCCTCAATACGTAAGAGTGCATGTTTGAGATAAACAACTATTCCTCCTATCTTTTACAATTTAATTAGAAAATTGATGTTAGTCTTATATATAACACCTATTTATCATGTTTATCAATTTTTTCTAAATTAATCCTATTAATATTTTTTTAATAATAATCAAGTAGAAGAACAAATTAAAGAATTAAGAAAAATACTTAGAGTGTTTTAGAGAAAATATACCATACTAACGAATTTAACTGATATCTTTAATTTATTCAAATTAGTTAATTAGGTTTTACATTAAAGACCATAAGAATATTATTCTAGTTGCTGCAGTAATTAGGAGACAGAGGGATGAGATACGTAGCAGTTTGGTAGCTGAGTAAGGGGAAATAATATAGTAATGGCAAAAAGATGAATTAATAACCTCTAAATAAATCAGACCAATTCTAAGTTTGGCTTCTTCATTACAATAATGCTGTCTCTTACGCTACTTTCGTGGCATTTTCCTCACGAAGTGTTACCAAACGAGTGCTACTAGAGCCTAAAAATCGATCTATATTTAGACAATCTCAAATTAAATCTTACAAAAAGAACTAAAGCCAATTTAAACAACTAGATCTTATAAAAAGAACAGAAGAAAGTATCTCGTAAGTCTTTACATATTATCTTCCCAATAATTAATGAAGCTGGGTGCTTCTATTGTGTAGAAGATATTAGTTGTTTTCTACAACATCTTTAATGCTTATTTAATAATGCTGTAACGAGATAGTGATTGGTAAAATATATCTTTAGTTCTTAATATAAGAGCTAGTTTGACTTTCAATTTGATTATAAAAATAAGATCTCAGTCCGTTTTGTCTTTCATGTTTATCATTTTTTTTAAAGTAATTTTCGTAATAGTTGCACATATTAAAAGTTCTATCAAATTGTAGTTTTAACCAATATACATGATTAGTAAGAAAATTTTAGGGAAAAAAATACTTATTTATTACAAATAACTAACTTAACTAATTTTTTTAATCTTCTTAAATTATTCAGTTAAATTTTATATTAAACATTGGAAGTAGTATAAAGCTTAGTTTAATTTACTTTTTCTTCTATGGATCAAACAATAGTATAAATTGCTTTACTTCATATATAATGGAGAAATAATTAATGTGATGCATCATTGTTATGTTAAGGAATAGAAGGTAATTAATGACAAGCTAGTTTGACTAATGCCAATATACAAATAGATTGTGAAAACGAAGGCTTTAAGAATAAATGGAGATAACGACAATATCTTTGTCCCCACCTTTTCTCACCTAACTGAAAAAACGATCACTAACCTACTTGCTATTTTCCCCCATCCATGCGTATAATTCAAACAATCTCTCTAGCTATTATAAACAACGACTACTACGCACGCTGACACGTACGCATGTAATTATTATTCTCGTATTATTGCTATATTGATAAATTATTAAATAATTGAATATGAACCTGATGCTGCGTGTTAAGATGAATTATGTTTTAGTATATATGGTACGAATAGATGAATTTTCAGCTTAATTCTTATTTGTCTAATGAAAAAATCAGCCAACCGTCGGTCGAATTTGCAAGCTCTTTCTAATTATGGCTTGAAGATCCTACAATTATGTTTTGTAAGAGTCAATAATACAGATAGAATCTCAAAAATTGCGGATATATATGTAGTGACGTTAAACTACTATATATATATGTATAGGTATATGTATATAAAGATCTTTCTTTTAATTCTTGGTCATGAATGCATTAACCTTTGCATGCATAAAACAAGCTCAATTATGCTTTGATTATTATCCAAAACATTAATTCAATCTCAAAATGTTTAACATATACTACCTCCGGTCCTTAATATAAGACTTTGTTTAACTGTTATTTTAGTTCTAAATATAAGATCCCAATCTATTTTGTTTTTCATATTTATGTTTTTTTTTACAAAGTAGTCTTTTTAATAATGGAAGTTCTAGTCAATACATATAATTAGTAAGGATATTTTAAAAAGACAATATCTATTTATTATAAATAGGAAAAACCATATTGAAGGTGCCTATATTTTCTCTCAATTTTTAATTTGGTACCTATGTGTTTTTTCCCCTTTAATTAAACATTTAATTTTATCTTTTTAGAAACATTAGCTCTTATAACTTTGTTCTATTGATATTTTTAGTTTTTACATAAGGATCAATGATGTTAATAGAGGAAAAATAAAGATTTAGTTAAAAACAAAAAACACATAGGTACCAAATTGAAAATTGAAAAAAAGTATAAGTACCTCCAATATGGTTTTCCTTTATAAATAACTAACTTAACTTATTTTCTTAATCTACTTAAATTAGTTAACTAACTCTTATATTTAGGATTAGAAGAAGTACATCAAACGTATTTTTTGAGAGTAAAAGAGAAATGATGTTCTCATTGATGATAAAGAAGGATGAACGCAATATAAGGACTACGAAGAAACAGATTGTGCTAAAAGCTAGCAAGGGATCGATCAGTCCGGGATCTAAGGAATAGCAATTAAAACCTAACAATCTTGTAGGAAGCGAAAGCGTGTGAGATATTTTTCCTTTTGCTTGTGTTTAACTATAACTCTATAAGCCTCTCTTCAATTACTTCGTTTCATTCTTGATATCGACGCTTTATCTCACTCATGCAAACACCTCTCTTCACACTTGACCTATTTCTGTAGCTTAAAATCCTCACTTTCACTGCTCTTCATCTTCCATCCTCCATTAACGCCTAGCCATGGCTGCTTCATCTCTTTTCTTACTGGTTCCTCTATTCGCACTGCTTTTCCTGGGTCATCCTTCATCTTCTACCTCCAGATCACGTGCTTTGATCACCAATACTGATTCCATCAGACCCATTAGGCTCAATCTCCACCACGTCGATTCTGCCCAAAACCTCTCAAAACTCGAGCGTCTTCAACATGGGATCAAACGTGGCCAGGCCAGGTTACAGAGATTCAATTCTATTGTTCTCGCAGCTTCATCTTCAGCCTCACAAAGTTCTGATCAATTGGAAGCTCCTGTTTATGCCGGACGAGGGGCTTACCTCGTAAGTCTTTCTATAGGAACCCCACCAAAATCTTATTCTGCTGTTTTAGACACTGGAAGTGATCTAATCTGGACTCAGTGTAAGCCTTGTTCTAAGTGTTACAATCAACCCAGTCCCATCTTCGATCCCAAAGAGTCATCTTCTTTCTCTGCACTCTCTTGTTCAAGCGACCTCTGCTCTGCATTACCTTCATCTTCCTGTGACAAAAATACCTGCAATTATCTGTATTCCTATGGCGACAATTCATTCACCCAGGGTATTCTAGCCACTGAGACTTTCACCTTCGGAGAGAACAAAAAGGATCAAACTGCGGTTAAGAACATCGGGTTTGGTTGTGGAGAAGATAATGAAGGAGACGGGCTTGATCAGGCTTCAGGCCTGGTGGGTCTGGGTCGTGGGCCTTTGTCTCTGATTTCTCAGCTACACGAACCGAAATTCTCCTACTGCTTAACCTCCATGGACGATTCTGCAGCAAGTACTCTGTTTCTGGGATCGTTTCCTAGTTCAAAAGAACCAGTCACTACGTCTCTTCTCACAAACCCAACACTTCCATCTTTCTATTACCTTCCTCTTGAAGGAATCTCTGTGGGAGAAACTCGATTGGGCATTGATAAATCCATATTTGATATAAAAAAAGATGCAAGTGGAGGAGTAATCATAGATTCTGGCACGACCATTACATATTTAGAAAAGGAAGCTTATGAAGCATTAAAGAAAGAGTTCATATCTCAAACCAATCTACCAGTGGACACTTCAGGTTCAACTGGGCTTGATCTTTGCTTCTCTCTGCCTTCAGATTCATCACAGGTTAAGATTCCCCGAAAGTTGGTTTTCCATTTCAAAGATGCAGATTTGGAGCTTCCTACTCAGAACTACATGGTGGCCGATTCAAGTTCCAGTGTGGCTTGCTTAGCCATGGGAGCTTCAAGTGGCTTATCTATATTTGGGAACCTTCAACAGCAAAACGTACTGGTGAATTATGATGTTCTGAAGGAAACCATTTCCTTCCTTCCTACACAGTGTGATTCAATGTGAAGAGTTTGATTCCGTGCTTTAACTTGTATTTTAATTTGTTTTGTCCTTTGTTTTATGGTTTTTTTAACTTGTGTTATTCCATGATATGAGTTTTATTACTGTATTCATCTATTGGAGTAGCAGAGCAGAGGATGTTGTTGAAGCTTTGATCTTGGACTCAATATTGTTATTCGTCGTATGTGTGAATAAAAATGCTCTGTTTTTTAACTCTCTTTTTTTCCGAGACCCCATTGATGCTCCTTTGAACGTTTCTAGGTTCCCTGTCGTGTAAGTTAGAAGATTTCGATCACTTCACCTAATAATTGAACAAGGTGGGCCCGTTTCTGTGGTACCCAGGCTCTGATAAATGGACCCACCTGCTGTATTTAAGTTGAAATGAGGGCTGTTCACCAATTTGTCCTGTGTCCCGTTATGTCTCGGTGTTGCTCTGGTCTAAAGTCAGGTTGGGATTGAATGTCCCGTTTTGTTTGTTTTTCTAGAACATGTTTTGTCTTGTGATCAAACCTATTGCAATGGAGTTTTGTTGTTTTTTTTTCATACATATATTTTTAGTTTTTTAGCTTAGCCTTTCTAAAAGCATTTTTTTAAAAAAATTTAAACTCAATTCTCTTAAACAAAAATCCAAATAAATAATAATCAATAACATAATAATTTTTTAAAAAAATTTGAACTATGACAAAGTGGTATATTTAAAAGAGAAAGTTTAAATATTACAAACAGCTAAATAGTCTATACTAGCAACATTAAAAAGAAAAAAGAACTACTTTTAGGAATCACATCCATATGATAAGAAAAATTAAAAACCGGTGAAAGTATTTCCTATCGAATGATTGAAAGAGCATTGGGAGAATGAGCTTAAAGGCGTAAGAAACACCTATCAACATAGTGGATGTAGAGAGGATGCTTCCACTGAAGGGCCATGATGTCAGATTGGTTGATCCAGTAAAGGGCAACTCAGTAGTGGCTGTGTTTCTCAAAAATTCATCTACACCATTCCAAAAATCATCAACAACTATAAAAACTTTACATAAATAATAATTATTCAACCACATATATGTTAAAAGTTACAAATATGAACATTTTGTATTACATGTATCTCAAATATTTTGTATTTTTAACATTCAATAGTTATAATGTGATCAAAATTTTAAAAAAAAAAATATTAGTACCGAAAAAGGACCGAGACAAGATAACCCCATCTCATGTCTTGTGCTAAAAAATTTAAAGACAGGCCAACTTTAAACACTCTTAGTTGAAATATAATTGTTCGGGGGCTTTCAATAAGTTATAGAATTGTTTTCTTTAATCAGATGAAGTTGAGATCTGAGATGGCTTCTTGTGCTTCTTTGAATTTATTAAGAACTATGAAGTGTAATTATTTTAGTAGATTGTCTCGTGAATCATATGCACACAAAACTATTTGAGGGAAGTTGAAGAGCATGAATTCAAAATAAAAAATAAACTATGCATGGCGTCCAATCCACAAAAAAAAAGAAGAGGACACGCCCCCTTTAAACATAATAAGAAGGCATAAATATACTTGACGATTTTGTAGCCAGTGACACCAAACGCTTCTTTTAGATCTTTTGGACTACTACCTCTTGTCGGTAATATAAAATCTCGCTTGATTTTTATTTTGGTTCTAATTATAGGATCTCAATTTATTTTATTTTTCATATTTATGCATTTTTTTAAAGATAGTCCCTCTAATAATAGTAATTCTAACCAACAAGGATATTTTAGAAAAGATAACATATATTTATTACAAATAACTAACTTAACTTATTTCTTAATATTCTCAAATTAATCAATTAGCTTTTATAATTAAAACTGGAAATAGTATATCTTAAGATACGTGAGTTACGGCAAAAATAATATATAATAATATATAAGTTTAGAAATTTTCTATCTTAAATATAAGAATTGATTGACATGCTTATTTTAATCATAAATATAAAATTTCTTTTTTCTGTATCTCTAATATTTCTTTTCATACTGTCCTCGTTAGTTTTACCTTTTTTCACTTTATTTTTTTATTTTCTATACTTTCCATACACCATTGCATCAGATTTATTTTTCAGGAATTCAGATCTTAGATGAGAAATTGTTTTTTTTTTTTGAGTTCCAGGATAATTATTGCAGTCATCTTTCGATCTATAAATATTTTCCATGTTAAATTTAAGATTTTTTTTAACATCTTAAATTAACTTATTTAATAAAGAATAGGGAAAGCTAGAGAAAAGGACCAAGAAAAAGTTATATTTATTATAAAGGATCTTACAAATTATAATTGTTTAAAAGGACTATAAATTAAAAAACAAATATGCAAATGCCAAATTGCCCGTGATTAAATCACCTACATTTTCACTAACCAAACCTTAAATATTTGACAGTTATCATTAGTATGTATATTATTTTTATTTATTGGAAACAAAATGCACTCAAAATTTTTAACCAAAAATAAAAATTTCTTCAACCACTAAAATGAGGACAAATTTTTTATCTCTATTTTTTTCCTCAACCCTATTCGTCCTATTAAATATATTATAATTAAAAAAATTATGCATTAAATTACTTTTAAAAATTAGATTAAGTAATTTCTAAAAAATAGTCAGATATACTAAATGAGCAAAAATGTTGATAAAAATATATAAGCACACAAACATATAAAAATTTTATAAAGTAATTAATGATACATTATTTTTATTATTTTAATCAAATCAAAATTATTTTTCATAACATATTTCGACATGCATAAAGTTTTATGAATATTTTAAATTAATTTAATATTTTTTTTTTGAAACACTTGCTTCTAATTTAATGTCATAGAAAAAATAAAATTAGATTCATATATAAAATTTAGCTTTTTGTAAAAATAAATTAAAACGCAGACTATTAAATTTTAGTGATCAAATTTAAGCGAACATTATGATATATAATTATATTATACAACTTCTATAATGTATAGATTGAATAAAAAAAATAAAAATTGACGATAATAGATTGCTCTCCTATTTTCTAGCTACTAATTATCAAGTAATTGAGATGTAGTTAGATTGAGTATAAGAAAGTTTATTAAGGGTATAATTTAGTATTAATATATTTATACTTTAGTTTTTGGTCTTTCTAAGTAATTAAGATTTTTAAGGTCCTTCATAGTAAATATTATTTCCTTTAGATCCTCTATTCTAATTTTTCCTAAAGAATATCATGGCACGGGGGGATATAATTGGAGTGGGGTGGATTACAAGGCAAGCATTAATTGAAGGTTCAAAACAGAAAACATTCTAAAAGGCCTTGAGTGTCTTTGAACCCACGAATCCATAACAAAAGCCATACGGTAATTACTTTTTTTTTTTTGGGGTATCCCTGTAATTCTTATTTTCACATTTCAGGACGCAGATCGCCACAGGTGAGGCCCAATAATTATTGGGCTAAAACGTCCATTGGCATTGAGAGTTAACAGAATTTGAAATAGGTTCTGATATTGTTGCCCATTAAATAGAACGTTTGCATCTCACCTTAAAAAAAAAAAAAAATAGAACGTTTGCAATTTTGGTTCAGAAGGGTGAAGGAGTTAATTCTTACTGTGATTTTAGACCAATTAGTCTATGTAATGTACTATATAAGATCATCACCAAGGTCATGGGTAATAGATCGCAACCTATTCCTTCCAGAATGCCTTCCTTAAACTGTGACAATAGGGATAAAAAATGGTTAATTAGTCCTATCTATTATTTGATCCTAAATATAATAACTTAATTCACTTTGTCTCTTATATTTATCTATTTTTTCAAGATAGTTTTTGTAATGTTTACACATGTTAAAGGTTTCACTACATAGTAATTCTAGCTAATACACATGATTAATAAGGGTATTTCAGAAAAGACAATATCTATTTATTACAAATAATTAATTTAACTAATTTTTTTAATTTATTTAGATTAGTTAGCTATCTTTTATATTAAGGACCGGAGGTAATACTCTTTTGGTCCTAAATATAAAACCTTATCTTGTATTATGTATAAGGGTCTTATATTTAGGACCGGGGGAGTATATCTAAGATCCGTGAAAAACATTCTCATGTTTTTGCTTTTGCCTTCTTTCGGGGGCAACAGGTCTTTAGGATGAAGGAGATTAAACGGAAAGGAATGAACGCGTGGTTTCTGCTATTGTTTGTGCTGCGAAGATGTCTTGTGATCATGATGACGCAGCAGAATGTAATCCATTCGCCGACGTCTTTTGGGGTGAAAGTGCAATCTAAAGAACAGAAAGTTAGAGGGATTTGGTCGGGCTTTCACCACATATTCTATTGGCAAAAATTTCGTTTAAAACCACAGTATAAAATTAATTTCAAAGAGCCTCCAAAACTTTTTAAAATTTCACTATAGAACCAAAAGGGTAAATTGATATTAATTTCACCAAAAAAAATAGCACTATTACCCCTCATAATAAAAGTAGGAGAACCCATTTGTAAGTGAGATTAGAAAATTTGTAACATATATATATTACAACTGGAATTAGTCCCTTTACCACCTGAAGAAGGTGTCTGTGAGTGAACAAGTGTGGAAAAACCCATTTGCAAATAGAACTAGACAATTTATAACACACATACATTTATTTACAACTATAATTAGTCTATTTACATGTCACCTATTCACCTCCTTCACCTGAAAAAGGTATCCATGACTGAACAAGTGTCAGAGAGTCTATCTGCAAGTGAGACTAAACAATTTGCAACATACATACCTTTATTTACAATTGAAATTAGCCTATTTACATGTTATCTCACAATGAAGTTTTGGGAGCTCTTTAAAATTAATTTTGTACTGCATTCCTTGAATGAAAATTTCCCTATTCTATTGGTTCAGGATGACAGCTCTTTTGCTTCTTATCCCTTTTGCTGAATTTTATTGTATGGAGTTAGCCCCAAAAAAAATTTATAAATACTTATTAAAAATATATGATTAGCTAAAAATGACAGTTGGGATTCTTTTAATAACAAGCAATTATATTATAAAGTAAAAGATAAAATGTTCAAAATATGAGTTTAGTGGGAGAGTTTCATAGAGAGAACCCATAAAAATAAATAAATATTATGAGAAAATATCGAATCATTAAACTTAAATTCATCAATATTCAAAATTTATCTTCACCAAACAAGACTGAAATACAATGTCATTTTCTTTTCGTTGTCGCTATCAGAT